TGGAAGACAACAATTCATCAAATCCAAAACCCACGGCCACGTAAGCACTTTTGGGTCGATATCATTATTTTGAAATTAATTCAACCAGGACCTTGACCCGGCAAAACGCCGGGTGAATGTGTGGCAGAATTCTACAAATATCAAATAAAATACAACAAAACAAAGATGAAGAAACAAGATTTTAACATGATACCAAGTTACCATAATTAAATCATTTTTAYGAAGGTTTGGAGGGTTAAGGCCTGTTTGTTTTCTTTTTTCTTTCATAAATTGGGAGAGAAAATTGGTCAACTTTTTCATATTCAGCTTTTGGTAAGTGTGGGCCCCATGCACGGTAAATATATTCTCCCTTGATATATCACTTACTTGTCTTTCTCCCAAGTGAATAAATTACTTTTGCATCAGGAAAAGATAAATGTCAAAACATCATTGGACAAAAATGTCCATTACAAGAATAGAACATGGAGATAAAAATGGTAAATTATTTAATTTATCCAGGTAAATTTCATGATTAAATTTATTTGGGAAAGTGTGGAACGCCACCTTGTAAGGCGCAGATGCGAACTCATGTAAGTCGAGTGTTAACAGCCCCATTTGCCCTAAAATTTGTCTGATTATTTCCCACAATCTAGATAACTTAATAAATAATTATCTCCCAAGATAATGAATTAATTAAATGAAATGCCATGAGAATGGCAGAATCTTCGCTACGATATCTGAAATAGCACGAGGAGCCTCACTTCCAGTGTCCCATATATAGAGTATTTGCATGAATTTGGATTAATTTCTACCACCAGCTGGTTTACATCAATCTTCACCATAGATCAAAAAACGGTAAAATGCACGCTGCAACGTGAGAACAACCCGTGACTTGTGAGCAGTTAATCCAACCTATTAAAAAATGGACTATTTATGCTACAGGGGTGCATGTGACTGACTGTCTTCAATTATGCAGCAGATTTTTTTAATCATCTTTTGTCTATAGCTATAGCTACTTGTTGTACATCGGATCTGCTCCACACTAGCGCGATTCACACGCACATTCAATTATGCGTTGGAAACCTCTCACATACTATTAAGTTATTCTTATTCATGGGAGATATTTTCAATGCATCATACATGTGCATGTGAGGCACCCAAGTGTGGGGAGCCTTATATTTTTAGTTTTTATCCTGACTTTTTCCGGTTCTTTTCTTTTATTTATTTGAAATTCGTTATGACATTTTTATATTTTTCTCAAACTCATCATGACTTTTCAAAACATCCACAGATACCCCAATCATTCAGTTTTATT